GCCCGGCCCGGAAGGCCCGGTGTCAAAAATTCTGTATTTTTGAGCCAAATTTTGAGCTCTCAATATAATTTTTTCCATTTTTTTTCGTATTTCGGATTGTTTGTCTGTCTGATCAAAAAAGATCGAAAAACTCGAAAAAACATTTTTTGGTCGAAAAAAATCACAAAACACATAAGGGTCCCCCTTATGAAAAAAACACATAAGGGTCCCCCTTATGTGTTTTTTGAAAATTTCGAAACTAGTGAAATGGCGGGCCCGCCGGGCCGGGCCTCCAAAATTCCGGAAAAAGCCCGGCCCGGCTCGTTACAAGTATGGGAATTCAGAGATTTAGAAATTCAGAAATTCAAAACTTAAAAAATCCTAAAATTCGGAAAACCTGAAAATCTAAAAAAATTTAAAGTCTCAAAATCCTAAAAACTCGGAAAATTCTAAAAATTGAAAATAATTTCAGGTTACTGTATCAAAATTTGAAGCATCTGAAAAAATCTGAAAACAGAAGTCCTCTGAAACTGTCTGTTCAGACTGAAAACTAGAGAAAAATATTATTTGCATATCACGAGTTATCTTCTTCTTCTCATCCAAAAATCTTCTTAGATATATCTTTCTGGTGCTTCTTCGATAAATTCTTCTCCCCCCAGAGCATTCCCATTTCCTATTCCTATTTCCGTTTGAAAAAAATCTCTGCGTCTGTTCATCTCTCCTTATCTCTAATCACTTCTAGAGAGAGAAATAGTGTGGAGGGAATGGAGAGACGTAGAGAAATGTATGAGGTAATGAAAAAGGAGAGGAAAGGATTAGCGCAGAACGACATGGGGAGCATGAGAAAATAGAAAAAAAAAGAAGATTCAGTTCTTTTTCTCTCTCTCTCTCATTGAATTTGAAATAAGCGAGATGTGGGTGACGTGGCAAGAAATGGGTCTGCTAATGATTCTTATGTAGTTTGTAGTCTAGCAGGCCCAACTTATGCAGTTCTAATGTGCGCGAGTTTGTTCTGCTAATATTTCTTATGTAGTTTATGGTATAGCAGACCCAAATATGCAACAGGAAGAAAAGGAAAAAAGGAATTAACGGGACCTGCCCTTCGGGCAATTTTACTACTCATCTTTTGGGCTGAATTGGATTAGGAAAATGGGAGAAAAAAGAGAAAAAAGTTGTTGTTGACTACAAACTACAGTTGAGGAATTAGCAGACCCCTAAAAGAAAATTTTTGAAAATTAAATTTCTCGATTATCATGAAAATTAAAAATTCAAAAATTCGAAAATTCTAAATTTTCAAAATTCTAATATTTTATGAAAATTCAGCTGTAATTTGATGTTTTCGAGTGTTTCAAGAGCAGGAAAAAGACAGCAAATTCGAAAAAAGATGTTTTCAAAAGAGAAAATTTGCGGAATATTTTTTTTTCTAAAAAAAAAAATTTTTTTGTAGGTCAAAAACTTTAAAAGCATTTTTTGCGATTGAAAAATTGTTGTTTCCCCTAAAAATGTAGTTTGTATCTCAAAAAATCCATTTTTAATGAATTTTGAGTCGGTTTTTATGATTTTTATGACTATTTTCGAGAATTTTGGGCTTTTTATAAGCTCAAATTTCATTGAATTCATTGGAAATCGACAAAACAGCGCGAAAAATTGGCCTGAAACGACAATTCGGAGTGATTTTTCAGAAAAAAATGAAGAAATTGGCCTGCTAATGTTTACTGTGTAGTTCGTAGTCTAGCAGGCCCACGAGACGGAAGACGACTGGCGAGGAAATGGGTCTGCTAATGATATATGTATAGTTTGTAGTCTAGCAGACCTACGAGGCACAGGAGACAACAGGCACGAAATGGGTCTGCTAATGTTGGGAATCTAGTTTGTAGCCTGGCAGATTCATCATGCGTGTTCCTGCTAATGTTTTTGTATAGTTTGTAGTCTGGCAGACCCATTCTCTCTCGAGGGGCCTAATTTCATCTTCCATTCTTCGGAAGCAGTCATAAAATCGTTACAAAACTTGCGAAATAGATGTAGGCGTCCCTCCAGAATGACATGGAAAACGTGGGAAAAGGAGAGAGAAGAGACGCAGAGAATTAATTAAAAATAGATGGGCCTTTTTTTCTGGAAAACGAAGAATATAATGAACTGAAAATAATAAAAATATTCTGAAAAAAAGAAATGTTCAGAATCGATATGAAGAAGTCGCTATTCAAAAAAAAAACGGGAGCCAACGAAAAATAGGAGAAAAGAGAGCAAAAGTTTTGTCGTCGTCCACGCGGTGGCACTCTCGCTTCTCCTTTTCTCTGCCACGTCTTCTGAAGACATTCCCTCTGCTCTCCCATTTGACAAGAGAGGAGAGGCACATACACGCCGAGCACTAGATTGCTGACATGGCTTAAGCAGAAGGGGAATCCCGTTGTTTTTGGTTCTCCTCCTGCATCCGGCTCCTCCCCTTCAGAATTGAATGGGCTTTTACCGTTTTTATTACAAAACACATGTGCTTTCAGTGATTGTTGGGCGGGGCAATGGGAAGAAGAGAGCAAAAAAATGAACGAAATTGGATAATGGTGGGGATGTAGTGGGGAATTTAAAGTGTTTAACACAAAATGATGCTTTATCAAATCTTGTTAACAACAAACACTCCAATAGAATTGGATCTGAACATTGGCTTATTGGGGATGGGACGGGTTGGGGGCGGTGCACAAATTGGATGCTTCTAAAAACTAGTTTTAAAAAATAAGGAAAAATTGGGATGAGGATCCGACACTTGAGACCTTTCGTGTCAGGGTGATTGAAGAAAAAAGAGAGGTCGTCAGTGGTGTGGAAGATCAAGGGATTGGACGGGGACAAAAGACAAAGTAGTAAAAAAAAAGAAAAAAACAAGCAAGCCTTTAACGACTCGAAAACTCATCAGAAAATGAGGAAAGAGATCGGAAAAGGCGTGATAACAATTATAACAAGCTATGTGGGGAACTAATGGGGCGAATAAAAAGAGTAAGAGAGGAAAAACAAGCTGTTGGAAACAGACAATTTGTGTGATAGGGGAATTGGTTTTTTGGAGCCGATGCACAGATCTTGATGAAGACAGGAAAGGAGAGCACGAAGAAAACAAGATGAAGAGTAGAACAGAGCATTTGAGGAGGTGGTGGTGGTTGATGGAATTGGGCGGTCAGGTCAGAATTTGGGGGCACGAAAGAAGAGAATTACTTGGCTCCGAGAGCTGGGAAGGCGTCCTCAGAAGCGTTGAATGGTGTTGCTTGATGACGTCCTCCTTGTCCTCCGGAACGTGGTCCTCCACGGCCTCCGCGTCCTCCTCTTTGTCCACCGCGTTGTGGTCTCTCCGAGCGGTCGTCGTTGCGACGATGATCGCGATCGTTGCGCTCACGTTCTGGGCGATCGTTGCGGAAGGTGATGGAGATGTCCAACACTTGCTTTCTTGGAGCCTTGTGGATAACGACGACCTCGTCCTCCTCGCGGTCTGGGATGACCTCCTTCTTCATTGGGATGAGCTTGCCGAAGTTGTCAGCAGCTCCCTCTCCAGCCTTTCTGGTGTTGAACTTTGGAGCCTCAGCCTGCAAAAAATTACAATAATTTTTAGAATTCTGAGCAAAAAATATCTCGGGAGCATACTTGTCAACCAGCCTATTCCGGGTGGGCTGGTAACTCGCTTCAAAAATGGAATTGTGAAACCGGCGTATTCTTATTGGAGGTTGCAGAGCTTGCCGGTATTGTTCGGCTCACAATTTCAATTTTCAAACGAGTTATAGTCGACAAGTATGCTCGTTAGCTACGAAAGACGACAACGTACGTTTTGAGCAGCTCTGAACTCCTTAAGAGTCTTCTGCTTGGCAAGAACCTCTTGCTCAGCCTCGAAAGCGAGCTCCTCGGCGGTCTTCTCACGTGGAACCTCTGGCTCAGCTGGAGCAGTCTCTCCCTCTGGAGCGATGTTCTCGGTCTCTCCGGCGAGCTCATCCTTCTGGTCTCCCCAGTTGCCCTTTCCATGTCCGTCCTTCTTCTCGAAAGCGCGAACTCCGGTACGATCGGATCCGGATTGACGGTCGAATTGACGTCCACGACCTCCACGGGATCCTCCACGTCCGCCGGATGGTCCACCAAGGGTGAATCCTCCGCGACGTCTTGGAGCGCGGGTGTCTTGTCCGTCGTCAGCGAAATGTTGGTCTCTTGGCTCCTCTCCTTCTCTGTTCTCGCGAGTGAATCCTCCGCGTCCTCCACGTCTGAAAATTGAAAAATAGGGAAATTCCAACAAATTCTACTCACCCAGCTGGACGAGCAGCTCCGCGTTCACCGCCTCTGCGGGGTCCTCCACGACGGGAATCGCCGGAGCGTTCACCGTTGTTCTCGTTGGAGACACGATCTCCGCCATCACGTGGACGGCCAGCAGCTCCCCCGCGTCCGCGACCACGTCCTCCGCGTCCACGTCCAGCAGAAGCACCGTCGGTCTTGGCGGCAGCACCTGGAAAAAAAATTGAATTCCAAATTTTATAAAAATACGGATACTCACTAGCTGGAGCAGCAGCGACTGGCTTGGTCGGCTGGGCGGGCTTCACAGCCTTCTCCTCCTTCTTCTTGAGTGCGAGCTGGGAGACCTTCTGCATGAGCTCGCGAGGATCGTCATATTCTGCAAGAAAAACAGATCTGATAAGACGCCGCTGATCATCCGAGTCGCGCAGATAAGATAATAATCTGCGCACAGGGTATATAAACCTATATAGACCCCTCACTTACCGGAGTCATCGTCCGATGGAAGACCAAACTTGTTGGTGACTTGACATCCGTACTCGGTCATTTTATTGATTTGTGTGTGCTGAAGATGAGAAGTACTGGAAGCTTCTTTTCAATTCAAATGCGTGCAAATTCCAAGCTGTTCAATAGCCCATAATATGGGTACCCTGGAATGACAAGCAAGTTTTGACACATTTTTGTTGAGAAAAATCGATAAAAGGGTCGAAAAACAGCGAGAATTTCGGGAAAAAAACAGGTTTTGAGAATTTTTAGGTAGGAAAATCGATTTTCTAGCGGATTTTTCAGGAAAACACGGCAATTTTCGACGGCAAAACGGTAAAAAAAATCGGTAAAACTGTTTGAATCGGTCAGGTGGCGCTTCGCCTGCGGTATCACAACGGTGTAAAGTGGGCGGGCTGAGTCGCTACTCAGCGAAATGCGACCAAAGAAAAGCGCGCGAGTTTGAAATTTAGGGGAAGCTAGTCGTCGTCTCGCTCGTCGGAAAACTTGTTTTTCAGTTGTTTTTGAAGTAAGTTTTTCAATTTTCAGGTGGAATCGATGTTTTTCTACTTTTTTCAGACAAAATAACAAATAAATTACAAAAAAGACGGTCATTTATTACAAAATATAGCAAGTATTGAGAGAAAGAAGCTCGACTGGGAAGAAAATTAAAAAAAAACTCAACTCGTAATTTTTCTTCGGGTTGAAAAAGGACACAGAAAAAGGGAACATTAGACAGATGAAGGAGAAGAAAAAGACATACAAATCACAGATTTTCTTAAATTCGAAAAATTATGCCATATCTACACAGGATAGAGAAGATTATTTTCTAAGCTCCGGTTCGCAGAAGTATTTTCCAGCTAACAGCTTCTTACGAATCATCGACAGGTGATAAATGTCCGATTGAACCAGTGATACGTCCACACCCGATTGGTTGGCTTCGTGGCACTGAAAAATCGATTTTAGGTGGATTCTTCAGCCCTTGAACTTAGATGGGAGCCCAATTGTCAAGTGGTTGTTCTAACTAACCTGAAATTGAACAAATACTTGCGCCGGCTTCCGATCAAGCATCTCGAGACTGACTTCATCCTGAAAATTATTTTTTAGATTCGATAGCTTCTAAATAACAAAAACTCACCCCAGAATTCTTCATAAAAATCCTGGCCTTCAGTGAGCCATGAACATCTCCATTCCTGGAAATTTCCAACAAACTCCACCCTAGAGACGGACTATCGGTCGCCCATTTTCCCTCCGGGTCACACATCACAGAATCCACGGCTCCAGTGAGATTCGTGTTGAAATTCACATTTAGAAGCGGCGCGGAGACGGGCGATTCGGAATTCAGCCGATAGTCGACACGTAGGTCCGTGTGACCTGGTTCGAACTTCCAGTACGCCGTCAGGAACAACGGGGGCACCGAATTACACGGAGCCGTTGGATCCATCTCGTAACGAGCCACTTCTGCATTCATAAACTGCGCATCTGGCTTTGCGATTTTCTGGGTTTGAAGCCACGTGGCAAGTTGGAGCTTGTTAAAGTAGAATGTGTAGTTTTCGTCGTCCTTTTTGCTCAGCAATTCGTCGATCAACTGCTTGTTCGGGAGTACTGACTTTATAAATTTCGCGCTGGATAGCCGGAAAGCCAACGGCTCGATTTCATGCTGAATCGAAGTCAGAAGGTTGATAGAAGACGTCGGGAAGGAGATCATCACAGTGCCAAATGTCCGTTGCACAAAATCATCGGCTCCTTTTTTGAACCAAACGTGTACATGCTCGTTGATCGCCATAGCCACCGGGATTCGTTGCTCCGATATTGTAGCCTGAAAAAAAAGTGAAAATTGGTCTGCTAGTGTTTCCATTGTAGTTTGCAGCTTAAATAGTAGTTCTGAAATCCAGAAAATTTGAGCTAAAAATGAGAAGATTTGCTCTAATTCTCATTTTGATAAATTGGTCTGCTAATGTTTTTCTTG